CAGGTAACAACACACAGAGCAGGTAACAACACACACAGAGAAGGTAACAACACACACAGAGCAGGTAACAGGTAACAACACACACTGAGCAGGTAACAACACACACCGAGCAGGTAACAACACACACAGAGCAGGTAACAACACACACAGAGCAGGTAACAACACACACACAGCAGGAAGTCCCATTAAGAAGTTTTTTTAAGCCTGAAGCTCCTGAGGAACTTTAGGTCGGCGTGGACAAAGGTTATAAGAGTTAGGGATTTTTAAAACGCTAACCCTATTTTCTTTTGACTTTTTATTTTCAATTTAAGGTTAGTTTGTCATATTCAGGAAACATAAGGAACTGGACCCAGTTGCAGATACCAGAAACTTTAATTATTAAACAAAAAGGCAAACATATCTCTCAGTTTCTCGGGAACAAAAGGCTGTTTGGCAGAGTGCTGTAACTCTGTTCATCTGATACCTCCCAGGCAGCTGTGGTGACGAATATTGAAAACTACAACACAGAAATAATCAGTCTTGTCAGTGATGGTCTGGTTTGTTTTTGTAGCTCATGGAGGCATCTTTGCGCTCTGTTTAATAACCTGCTAAAAACTCCTCAAAAGAGGGTTTGAAGGGATGCAGATTACAACTTTGCCTGAAGCACTTTACCATTTTGCTAATAATTACAGGCACCAAATCCCTGACGTCATATTCTGTACAATGTGGGACACTTTCTATCAAAACCTATTTTCAAAAATGTTGGAAAAACAGCTGTTTACTTCTTTTAAAAATAATTTCTGCTTTGTTAATACAGGCTCATCTGTGATTTAATGGTCTATAGTCAAATGTAAATGTGTGTATGTGTTTACAGAGCTAAAAGAGGTCCGACAGGAGATACTTGCAGAGCAGCAGGCATTGGAGGAAGTGAAAATCAAACGCACTCGGCGTGTCCAGCGACTGAAGAAGAAGCAGGATCAGCTGGACAGACTTCAGGACGAGGTGGAGAGGACGCAGAAGGAACTGGTCAGAAGTAATGATGACCTACACAGGACGAAGGATGAACTAGACACAAAGCAGACTGAACTGAATCAAAGAAGAGACGAGATGGTCGAGATAAATGATGAAGTTTACAAGAAAAAGGAGGAGCTGGAAAAGAAGCGAGAGGAGGTGGACCGGAGGAAGAACGAATTGGACAAACTGCAGGAGGAAGAGGACACGAAAAGGGAAGAGCTGATCAAACTGCAAGAAGAAGTTAAGTCCCGCAGAAAGGAGGCGGAAAAACATTTGAAAGAGATAAAACTACAGCAAACTGAAGAGCAGGTTGGTGAATAATATTGAACTTACAGCTTATTTAACTAATATTTTCATATTGCTTTAACTGCATTACTCATTTAAAAAGTGACAAAGTCTATCTAAACTTGTGTCTTAAGTGCCCTGTAGACTAATTTTAATGTCTTAAAAGGCTGTAGCTTGGTATTAAATTCAAACAAAAAGAAGGGGATGTGCTGATTAACTGACACTTTTAAAGGCCATATATTTTGTAAAATACACTTCACCATGTTTTCTAACACTAATATGTGTCTCTAGTCTGTCTACAAACCCCCATTGATGAGAAAAGTCCATCCTCTCCGTCTTTTGCCTGCTCCACTTTTCAGAAAATGTGTGCTCAAACAGGCCATTTGGAGATTTTCCCTTCATGACATCACAAAGGGCAGTAACCCCTCCCCCAGGTGGATGACAATCCCACAGCTAGGTGTTAGTTCTGTCCTCTGAGTCTGCCTTCTCACCGTAAACAATAGGACATGGAGCGAGAAAGCCCGAGACACCCAAGCCCTTCCAGAGAGGGGGCGTGGTCAGACACAGCTCATATACATTTAAAGGTACAGACACAGAAACAGTCTGTTCTGAGCAGGGCTGAAATAGAGGGGTTTATAGACAGGATCAAATACAGGATCAGAGTGGATTTAGAACAAGAAACTTCACAGACATGTTTTGAGGAGCTCTGAGACTTATTTAAACTGGTTGAAGAGGAGGAGAATATTAAAGGCGTATAAAACTAGCATCTTATTTTAATTTCTAAAGGCACCTAAAAATGTTACCATTGTCAAAAGAGTAAGAGGTTGTCATGTATTTTGTTAAAAAAAAGATTAAAAAAAGATGATACAACTTTGTAAGAATCAGTAGAACAATAAGAACTGATATAATTATATAAAATTATGCTGTAAATTCACAATACTTAAAATCAACCCAGTGTCTCTTAAAACAATAAAAGTCTCTGTTACTAGATCAACTTTAAGCTATTGTTACTGATTACTTTCTCTATCTCCCTTTTTCAATTAATCAATAAATATTAGACTTCTAGTGATTATTAGTATCCAACCAAGCTGCATTTTCAGGTTGTTGAAAACCCTTTTGAACCTGATGAATATCAAATTAAAAGCAGGACAGGAAACAAAAAGTTGAGTCCATTATGTTAAATGTGCAGGGGTTGCAGGAGGAGCTGAGCAGGAGGAGGGAGGAGAGGAGTAGCATACAGGAGCAGTGTAAACACCTGGAGGCCAGACGCCGGCACGCCGACAGGTACTCACACTTTATTGTTTCGATCAGCTTCATTGTTTTCTTACTACATTTCTACAAAATAAAGGTTAATCACTGGAGTTTTTGCCATTTAAAAGTTAAAACAATAATTGAAAACATCAGAAAAGTTCATAAAGACTTTTGTCAGTGGAAAACGTATTAATGTTTTACCAGCATGAGATAATGAGAGTGACGATGGATTCATTAAGTGTGTGATTATGTGTCGTGTTAATCACTCCGGTTTCTGTTTGTGTGTGTGTGTGTGGTGTGTGTGTGTGTGTGTGTGTGTGTTTCAGGAGTTTGTCAGCCGTTGAGCGGAGCTCTCCAAACAGAGGAGGAGCTCAGCCATCTCAAAGAAGAGTTGGTCAGAGAAACAGCAGCCGCTCAGGAGCAGCTCAACGGTATGACATCATCTCTCACAATTCAGATTCTCTTGCTGCCTGATTTGCCCTGTTAGTGTATGCTGAGCTTTGACACCGGGGACTGTCTTTGTTGAGTATGAAACAGAAACACTTTGAATCCGTCAACATTGTCCTGTTTGTGTTTCAGAGAACTCTGAGCTGCTGTCTTTGCTCAGGAACGAGTGGAGGAGAGGAAGAAGCAGCTACAGAATCTCGAACAGGTGACCACACACACACACCACACACACACACACACACACACACACACACACACACACACACACACACACACACAGTCTGTACTATGGGGCTGTGCATCAATATAAATACCTGGGTATGATCATTTACAATAAACAACAATAGTCTTTAATTTCTGTAGCGGTTCTCACATAGAGAATTTCAGGAGGACTGCTCCTAAAATTCTCCTGACCTGGTTGTTCAGATAAGCTCCTCACAGCGGGACTATCCCGTTCAGACAGGAGGTGGGGTTGGGTGTCTCCTGAATCAAGATCTGATGTAATAAAAAAAGAGGAAGCAACAGAGTCTGCTATATGACGTTATAATGACAATAATGCCTTTTTATAGCAATGCTACATTTAGTCTAACAGAATCACAATATCAACTAAAGAGCGGAGAAGAACAAAGAAGAGCAAATTGAAAATGCAATGCAGCCGTTTAGTAATGTGCTGCGTTCTCACATCAGCTCACTCAGACCTACTGCAAAAAAAATACTAGCGGTCTGGCAGGAGGAACTCCGAGTGAAGTCCAATTGAAAAATGTGTCCTCCTGCAAATATCAGGAGTTTTTCAGGAGTTTTCTGCAAGTGAAAAAGTGTTGGATGTTTGTATATTTTACTGCTGACTGCAAAACAAATTGTCCTCTCACAGGGATAATAAAGACAGCCTTGAAAATGTATTTCTGTTGTGCAGGAGGTGAATGTGTTCAGTCAACAGCAGCAGCAGAGAGAAGATCAACTGAAGGAGCTGGACAGACAGATACAACACAAACAGGTACACATTTAAAGTTAACAGTTTTAATTTATTATGGACTAATTACATGTGAAAAAAGAGTTCCTCACATTAAGATAAGTAAAGAAACGTATTATTGAAATTACAGGACAATAGAAATTAATTAATAACACTTTGAGATCCATCCATCCCTCGCTTATCCGAGGTCAGGTCGCAATGGCAGCAATCACAGTAAATCAACCCAGAGTCACCTTTCAGATGTTTTACCAGGACAGACAGACAGCACTCTGGGGCCCTTTCCGAATAGTCACAGTTCAGTATGCAGTACGTACTATTCAGTATGGAGTTTCAGTATACTGAACTCTCGTGCTCATTCAGTATGCATTTTTTGGGTCCATCTCAGTATACTGAACATTTCAGTATGCATACTAACTTCTGGGTTTTATGCAGTATGGATCGGATGCGTGCTTTCAGGAAATGAATTGTATTTTACCACCCACAATGCTGTGCGAAATTAAACGAAAATCGTCACGTCACGTCCGCCTCCAAATCAAAACAAACGAGCGTGGATTAATTTAATCAATTTTTCATCTTAATTTAAAGTCCCGTCTGAAATCACTACTTTCAATTAACAACAGACAATATAACAAATATCTGCATTATTATAAAACCTTTCCCCCCTCTATTTAAATAATGATTTAACTATTTAAATGCGTCTTTATTGGTTTATTTTATATCTTACTGTCTTTTATTTGTACTTTTCTTTATGTACTGTATGTTATTTAGTTATTTAATCTTTTACTTGATTTACTTGTGATATTGTTTTTTGTTTACCTGACTGTATATGCGCATTACTCTTCTTAAATAAAGCTAAAAGAAAAACAAAAAAAAACGGGTGAATGCGGCCGGTTCAGGAAACGTAAATGACGTCACTTCCATACTGAATGTAATCAGAAGAAGTAGGAACAAATATCTGCCTACTGTGTGTGCATACTGAATAGTAGGTACTAACAGTATGCAGCACGGATAGTACGTACTGCCTACTGCCTACTGAAAGATTGAGTATGTACTTGGCAATTCGGATACGGCCTGGGTCTACCCTGGAGTCTACTCCCAATTGGGCGTGTCGGGAAAACCTCCAAAGGGAGGCGTCCAGGAGGATCCTGATCAGATGCCTGAACCCCCTCAACTGGTTCCCTTTTAATAAGAAGCAGTAGTGGCTCTACTCCGAGCTCCTCCCCCTATCTCTAACTCTGAGCCCAGTCACCCTCATGAGGAAACTCATTTCGGCCGCTTGTATCTGCGATTTTATTCTTTCGGTGACTAGCCATAGCTCATGACCACAGGTGAGGGTTGGAACGAAGGTCGACCGGTCAATCGAGAGCTTTGCCTTCAGACTCAGCTCCCTCTACACCTCAACGGTCCGGCACTACGCCCGCATTTCTTTACTGCGCCGCTGACACTTTGACATGTTTTGTATTTAAGCAATCGTTCATTGGTACGAGCAAAAAGCATCAGTTCTCAAGACTGTAGAAGATTGTCTTTTTCTCATAGATTGTTTATTCTCTCCCTCCATGTTTCTGCCTCTCTCAGGGGCTGTGCGTTGGACTGGAGGAGGTCAAAGCTGCAGTGGGCCAGTTAGAAGATAGGGGGCGCCACCTCAACCAGCTCGGTCAGTCAACATTCTCTCATTAATGTATTTATACTTTTTGATAAATACTCCGTCCATGATTAAAGATCTCTTTTTTTGAGTGAGGCATGTAAATGAATTTATATTTAAAAAATGTGTATGTGTGGTTGGATTATTGTGACGGATTAGAGGAGGAGCTATGCGAGAAGGAGAAGCGACTAAGTAACAAGGAGGAGGAGCTACGACGAGAGAAGGAGCTACAGCGTAAAGAGGAGGGTCTTGTTCAGATGGAGGAGGGGCTTCATGGGAAAGAAGAGGTAAAGCATAAACCCAATGAACACCCTAGAGTAGCTTAGTAGACCTTTTGTTTTGAATACAATACTTTTAGTAAATCTGCAGTGGCTTCCTTTAACACACTCTGAATGTATGTTTTATGTGTCTGTGAAGGATTACAGCAGGGAGGAGGAGGAGGAGACTTTCTACCTGTCTACATCTGGACTGAGATCAGACCTCAGCACTGAGGTGAGTTCAGAACCTGAATAACACAGAAAATTCATCATTTAAACGTCGAATAAATAATGTCTGTGCATCCCATTTCTTAAAGGAGCAGTATGTAACTCTGACACTGTGTGTGTGTGTGTGTGTGTGTGTGTGTGTGTGTGTGTGTGTGTGTGTGTGTGTGTGTGTGTTTTCAGGAGGAGAGGTGGGAGGTGGAGCTGAAGAGAGAAAAACTGAGACAACAAGAGGATCGACTGAAAGTAAACAAGATTTTATTATAAACTTGAACAAGAAACAAGGAAAGCTGTTTTTAAAAAATCATAAAATTCAGTGTGGAGGCAGAAACCAGAGAATGATAGTTTATCTTCATTAAAGAAATGTCTTTACTGATCAACGACTTTACCAAAGTTGATCTTATCACCATTTACTAGCAGTGTCTCCCCATGCTTCCAGTCTTTGTGCTAAGATAATCCAAGCTAATGGTAACATGTGCTCCACCTGCGTGATATCTATCCAGAACGATTTGCTCAGCAGGAAACAGAACGAGAGGATTAACCTCGATGTGTTTGTGGATGTGTAGAGATCATTGTCATGAGTTAAACCTGCCCATGTCGTTTGTTGTTGAGGCTCGTCTGCGCTGCAGTTTGTGGAATCAGCAGGAGAACCTGAAGGTGAAGCGACTGGAGACAGAGGAGAGTTTACTGGGACTGAAGCACAAACTGGACCAGCTGGACTCTCTGCTCACACACACTCCGTAACACACACACACACACACACACACACACACACACACACACACTAACTAATGTCACAGAGACTGTGCCGTGTCTTTACAGGGTAAAGTTAACTTCTATATACCAGAGAACCAAATAACACGTATAACATGTGTCAGGGTGAAGGGTAACATGATTTACTGGAACCAGAAATAGCTGTTACACTGCTCTCTATCCAAACACACCAGACTCCATTCACAGAAACAGTCATTTTACCGTGTCGGCCATGGTCGTTGCTTTCTATTGCTGCCTCAATTGGTTAAATATTTTGAGTATTTGTGTTACATCCAAACGGACAATCAAAACACCAAAGAAAAACAAAAGACAAAGTCTTCGATTAAGGCAGCAGTTGAACAGTTAGTTCGCTGTTCTGCAAAATTAAATAACTGTCAATGGAGTCTCTTAAGGGAGCGACCACAAAAAGCCTGTCCCTCTAGGGATCTCTTCTGTTACGTTGTCAGCCACTGAAAATAACAACCTGGCAAAAAGAATTACTTTGAGTGAACTTGTAGTACACTGATTGGAAGCCATTTGTCTCCAATGATTACACTGCAGCCATGACAGCCTATTTTGCGTTTTCCAACTGAATCAATCTCTGAAAGCTATTCCAAAATATGTAAAGATATGGACCAGAATCCCCCTTTAAAGGTCACATATTCTCCTCCTCTTCAACCAGTTTAAATAAGTCTCAGAGCTCCTCAAAACATGTCTGTGAAGTGTCCTGTTCTAAATCCACTCTGATCCTGTATTTGATCATGTTTCTGTGTCTGTACCTTTAAATATGTAAATGAGCTGTGTCTGACCACGCCCCTTCTCTGGAAGGGCTTGGGTGTACTCGGGCTTTATCGCTCCATGTCCTATTGTTTACGGTGAGAAGGCAGACTCAGAGGGCAGAACAAACACCTAGCTGTGGGAGTGTCACCCACCTGAGGGAGGGGCTACTGCCCTTTGTGATGTCATGAAGGGAAAATCTCCAAACAGCCTGTTTGAGCACACATTTTCTGAAAAGTGGAGCAGGTAAAAGACGGAGAGGATGGACTTTTCTCATCACTGGGGGTTTGTAGATAGACTATCTGCTATAGTAATGTTAAAAATCCTGCATCTTCTAACATTATGAACACTGACATGACAGCAGGGTCCGATTAAAAAAATATATATATATATACTTTTAACAACATTAAGTCCTGCACAGCATCAGCATGACTTTTGTGACATGAAGCCAAAGACATTCATCACTGTGACTGAATATTTCTGAGGTGTTTGAACGCACCGTCTGTGAAGAAACAACACTGAGCTGAACACGAAGCACTTACAAATATAACGCTCAACGCACCTTCATGAACGTTTATTGTAGCCATATTTTTTATCTTTGAAGCCAAATGAATGACGATGATATTTATCTTTTAATTAAACTGTTTTTAACTGCATCTTGGTCTTTGTTTTTGTCTCTGCTCTCCTAAATCCCGGAGGCAAACATTGGTCCTCTGCTCGTGCGCCCATCAATCTGTCTGTCAGGAAACAGCTGCTCTGTCCTCTCTGCGTCTGTTCCAGGTGTGCCTCATCACCTGTCTGTTGTTGTAGTTATTTTTGTGAGGCAACTGAGGATGTCGGAGCTGCAGCAGCTGCTGTCGACCTGCAGGAGGAGAGGCTGACGGACAGAGAGAGACATGTGAGTGTGATATCAGAGTTAAAGAAAACGTTAAAAATCTCTGCAGTCTGAAGCACAAACTCAACATCAACATCATTTTGATGTTTGAAATCAAAAATGGACATCGGGTCGGGTTTTCCTCACAAAAAGCAAAAGACATCAAAAGGCCAGCGTATAAAATGATAGAACAAAATAAGTTCAAATAGAGCAGAGTGCCAAGTTCCTCCTGTGTCATCAGAGCTTCTTTATACTGTAAACTGAATGCTGCGTGGTACAAAGGAAGTGACGCCTATTTTAGTCCTCATCCTGGTCCTTCTGCACCTGGACCCTGAAGTCCAGAGTTCATACTCAGACCAAAGAGGGTGCAGAGGGTCTGCTGTGATCTTGTTGGCTAAATTTAGTGTGAACTGGTCTGTCTAGGTAAGAAATGCTGCACATTTTTTTCCCAGTTATCTTGCTAGTTTAACAATCTTGTCCAGTTTGCTCTCATTTTGGACAGACAATGCCCCGCCCCCTCCAGATAATACTTCAATGTTTCCTCAGAAAATAGAGGCGCTGTTGAGCCTTTGCATTTGTGTACAGACAAGTCAATTTGTCGTCAATATACAAGATACTTAAACTGCTGTACAGTTTCAATTGCTGTGTCGTTCATGATCAGAGGAGAGAGATGAATGTCTTCTAACATCTATAATAACTTCTTTTGATTATTGATTCATAAAACCACAGCTGATCAGGTCATGACTTCGTCTGCAAAGTCTCCATTCTGGCTACAATGAACACAAAGAAAGGAAACAAGCAACAGTTTGATATAAGCTCCATTTCCCACGTCCCCTGAACGCAGCATTTATTATAACTTTAAAGTAAGGTTCCTCAGGATTGTTGGTGAGGACGGCCTGCTGCTATGGACCCCCACCCCCCCCTCAGTGCCAGAAGCCCAGGAGGCCTTGTCCCAGCAGAAGCCAGACTCTCGAGTAGACGGAGCTCCCCCAACTTTCAGCGAGGTGATCTGAAACGACTACCACCCGACGTCCCTGACGCCCAGCCACCACCATCAGACTGTGTCGTCCCTGAAACACCGGTGTCCTCATTCATGCACAGCACGGCTGCTGCTCCAATACAGACTCTACAGACTACAGGTGACGTATTCAGCAGGTAAACACACCTGTAGGTTTCCCTGAGAGACACCGTCCAGCTGTTCGATACAAAGAGTCGTTTGATTCATCAGCTCCTGACGAACTGAATCACTGAGCTGAGAGTCTGAAGAAACATCGAGCAGCAACTTCAACAGGCAACGCAGCAGCACGGTGACACGGCCCGCAATCCTGAGAGAGAGAGAGAGAGACAGAGAGAGAGAGAGCGAGAGCGAGAGCGAGAGAGAGAGAGAGAGAGAGAGAGAGAGAGTTCAGTAGCGGCTCCCACATTTGGCCACTAGAGGTCAGAGTTGATCTTTTGCTAAGTTTGTGTGTGTGTGTGTGTGTGTGTGTGTGTGTGTGTGTGTGTGTGTGTGTGTGTGTGTGTGTGTGTGTGTGTGTGTGTGTGTGTGTGTGTGTGTGTGTGTGTGTGTGTGTGCGTGTTCAGACCGTGGCCAGGATGTTCTGATGGTTTTCTGCAGCGCCTCCAGGATCTTCAGTCGACTCGTCTCTTCAGGTGGATCCCTGACCTCCAGGTATCCCAGCACCACCCGCTCTAGCCGCTTCAGGTGTCTGCAAACCGCCATGCCCATCCTGAACCCGCAGAACAAAACAAACACACCCTGAGATCCTGCTGCCACACCACTAACCCCGCCCGTCCGCCTGCTGGACCAGGGGTGGAAAACAAACTCCCTCACCTGTCTATGAACGGAGGCAGAGCAGAGGCGTAGACGCGTCTTAGGGCCACTTTGTGCTCTGCTTCCATGTGGGTCAGGACCAGGCGCAGCACGTCGTCATGGCGACAGGGCTTTCTGGGGGACAAGGACGGGGCGAGAGAGGAGGGGGGCTTCTCCAAAACCAACAACAGGTCCGACAAACACGACAGGGCGGGCTGCAGACACACAGACACAGACACACACACAATCAAAATGAAGAGTGCAGGTACTCTAATGTCTGTTTACAATCCCACGATGCATTGTGTGTGACACATTTTAAAAGCTATCCAAAAAAAGAAAAAGTCCATTATTCTATCGTTTAAACTTTGACCTGTGAGGTCATCTCCTGGAGTCTTGAACTCTAATGATTTAAAGTCACAGAGCAGAGAAGTAGCTCCTCCTCTGAGCAGTCAGAAGTCTATACACCATTTACACCTGTGTGTGTCTGTGTTTGTGTTACCTGTATGACAGCAGCCTCCGTGGTGTACAGGTGTTTGAACAAAGCCTGGTAGATAACTTCTGCTCTGTTGAACTGACGGAGATCTGCAGCCGGCTGAAAATCACACACACACACATTAAAGTCCTCATGGAGAGTGTGTATTTATTCATGTTTGTCTCATTGTCCTTAACAACAACCTCACACATCACCTTTTTGTTCTACAACCTGCACTGCAAAGCTGTTTGAATAGTTTGACCATCTTAATTATTATAAAGTAGTAAACTGTGTGTGCAGTTTGTACAGGTTTGAGTCGTTCTCCGTATGACGACAGTATGAACTAAACTATTTTCACTCCTAGAGAAGCTGAACAGATTTTTAAAAGGTTCTGAGGAGAAGAGAAAAGTAAGAAGAGTTCAGATTGCTGCTGTGAGGCGGCAGAAACACGTTCAGAAGGAGTTCAAATTCACGATGAGTTTGTGAAGTTTCTGCTAACCAATCAGCTGTGAGGTTTTAGAGTGAGGTGCTACTCAAACCGCTCGGCCACGGAGAACGTTTGTGAAGAGCAGGGCGAGTCCACAATGTTGTTCACTATTAAAAATGTGTGTGTGTGTTCTCACTGTGTTGAGCACGACGTGGTGCAGACAGCGAACTCCCAGAATGCAGTTCTCTTGTCTGAAGTGGTCGTTGAAGAGGAGGGAGGGTGGGAGGAGGCGGGCCAGGTGAGGGGAGAGAGCAGGTCGAGTCACCTGCTCACACACGCACGCGCACGCACGCACACACACACACACACACACACACACACACACACACACACACACACACACACACACACACACACACACACACACACACACACACACACACACACACACACACACACACACACACACACACACACAGTTAGAAATCAAAATGAGTCATTAGTCAGCCTCATAATTTACTTGTCACAGTTAAACTGACCTGCAGGAGAGTCCATGCAAACACCAGTTTCACTGCGTCACAGCGATGCCACGAGTCCCTGCAACACACAAACACATCATAACCTGCTGTTTTCTCCTTTTCTCACATCAGCATTCTGACTTTTTGCAGAGAAAAAAGTACTGCAGGACTGGCAGGAGAAAATCAAGTCTGAGTGAAAAATTCAGCTGTTTGTGTGAATGAAGCTCATCCTGCAAAACTTCAGGAGTTTTAGGATCTTTCTTCCAACAGTGTCCTGACTTAAAAAGACAACGGACACTGTTACCAAAGTTTACAACAAACAATGAGCAGCCATGCATTCAACTATAACACAAGATCCCTGACTATAAAACTTTAAACACATGAAATCTGAGTATGAATGTGTGTACTTTTGTGGTCTCTGCACCTGCTGGACTAAAAACACAAACACTCTCTCTCTCTCATCTACAGTCCAGAAACTGTTCCTCACTTGGCCAGCTGAGGCTGCAGGACGTCCAGGATTCCTCCCACTATTCCTCTGCGCTTCTTCTTCTTCCCCCCTTCCTCCTCACCCTGACTCACGTCCCCCATCAGGAGGTGGGGGGAGTCCCTCCAGCGACCTGCCCTCAGCAGCGCCTCCTGCAGTCTCTGAGCCGCCTTTCGGGAGGAGGAGCTGGTCCACGCCTGATCCTGAACACAGGAATAGAGAGAGAATCAAAGATGGAATATGATTCTGGTATCTGGTAAAAACTAAAGCAAGATGTCTCCAAAGACGTCTCCACTTTTAATCGTTCACGCGCTGAGACACCTTTAAGAAAGAAATGTAAAGGTAAGTGAAAGTGTTTAACAATGTTACGACTTCTCACCTGGAAATGTGTGACAGCAAACACACAGATGGGCGGAGCTACAGCCAGCAGCAGAACATCCAGACCTCCTGTATTTCCCAGAGTACCCAGCAACGCGGAGAGGGCGGAGCATACCGGTTCTGCTCTGCACGGGATGCTACGATAGGCTGAGGCCGGCAGAGAGCTGCAGTCGTCTTCACAGAGCGGCAGAGCGGCACAGCCAATCAGAGCGCAGACAAGAGAGCTGTACGCCGCCTGAAGATCCTCACGCTGAGCATCCTGATTGGCCTGTGAGGCTTGGGGGAACAGCCAATCAGGGTCAGCGATCTGGAAGAGACGCTCAACCCGACCAATCAACGTGGTCTTTTCAGAGTCTGATGATGCACCAATCAGCTTCTCCTGCAGCCGAGTCAGGAGCTCTGTGATTGGAGGAAGAGTGGGAGAGGGGAGGAGCTTCTCTGAGGAGGAGGAGAGATGAAGTTCATCAAGTAAAGATGAAAGCTCCATTCTAAAACGGGGACAAAAGAAAAGAAGAATGGAGGAGAAGAAAGGAAAGAAATATTACAAATAAATACATTTAGTCATCAGCTCCTGCTTTCTTACTACAAAACATCCAAAAGTCATATTCAAAAGGATATTTCAACATGAAGACTACACGTTTTCATCTTAAGATAAATAAAAATATATAGATTAAAAAAGATGTTTCTAAATAAAGAGACAGATTATTTAAATAAATATCATAATTAGGAAGCTTAATTCTGTGGGTTTATTATTTCAAAAGAAAGAAAATTATTTATGTTATTTTACTTCTTAGCCCATTGTTAGTTGAATGGGTTATAAAATGACTGTTTCATATTCTAAAATTAGTTTCAAGTTGTTTTGTGGCAGAAATGAAAGTCTTAGTAACGTGTACTAGATACTAGCATCAAATTGATTTTGCCCAACAAATAAACATCGGCTCAGGCTACGTTATTCGCAGACGTGCCGATGTCCATGGGCGGTTGTAGGCAGGGGCCAACAGGGGCCAGTGCCCCAGTAACACTGACCTTGGTCCCCCCTGTGGCCCTCCTAATAACACATACACAGTAACTCAACAACCGGACTCACAATCGAGTATTAAATATTATTACTGACACAAATATAAATCATGGTATTTCATGTTGTGGTATTTTAAGATGAGCGTTATCATTTGGCACAATATATATTTTAAAGCTATGATCTTTGTCTATTTTTCACCTGGGTTTAATTTCCTCTCTGACAAAACAACTGGCCCCAGTTTGGCCCCCTCAGTAAAAGTGGGTTAGAACCTCCACAATGTCTGTTCATCATTTATTTATTTATTTATTTATTTTGGGGGGGGGGGGTTCATGAAATGCTTTTTGCACCACAGCTTGCAGTTCGTATAGTGTCGAGAAATTCAACACATGATTAAAGTCGATGCTCTGCAGCTGCTTTTCTTTTTAAAGGTCGATTAAAGATTCTTATTTCTTCGCAAACAGCATTTATGTTTTTATTTCTTCATGCGAGATCAGAAGTTAGTTTAATGTTATTTATGTGCTCAAACGAATTTAGTGTTCACTGTTTGTTATGTTCATAAATAATAATCAGTAACAGTGAACCTGAGATGTTTAAATAACCAGTGACAGTGAACCTGAGAAGTTTAAATAATCAGTGAACCTGTGATGTTTAAATAATCAGTGATAGTGAACCTGAGATGTTTAAATAATCAGTGAACCTGTGATGTTTAAATAATCAGTGATAGTGAACCTGAGATGTTTCAATAATCAGTGATAGTGAACCTGTGATGTTTAAATAATCAGTGATAGTGAACCTGAGATGTTTAAATAATCAGTGAACCTGTGATGTTTAAATAATCAGTGATAGTGAACCTGAGATGTTTCAATAATCAGTGATAGTGAACCTGTGATGTTTAAATAATCAGTGATAGTGAACCTGAGATGTTTAAATAATCAGTGAACCTGTGATGTTTAAATAATCAGTGATAGTGAACCTGTGATGTTTAAATAATCAGTGATAGTGAACCTGAGATGTTTAAATAATCAGTGAACCTGTGATGTTTAAATAATCAGTGATAGTGAACCTGAGATGTTTAAATAATCAGTGAACCTGTGATGTTTAAATAATCAGTGAACCTGAGATGTTTAAATAATCAGTGAACCTGAGATGTTTAAATAATCAGTGATAGTGAACCTGAGATGTTTAAATAATCAGTGAACCTGTGATGTTTAAATAATCAGTGAACCTGAGATGTTTAAATAATCAGTGATAGTGAACCTGAGATGTTTAAATAATCAGTGAACCTGTGATGTTTAAATAATCAGTGATAGTGAACCTGAGATGTTTAAATAATCAGTGAACCTGTGATGTTTAAATAATCAGTGAACCTGTGATGTTTAAATAATCAGTGATAGTGAACCTGAGATTTTTAAATAATCAGTGAACCTGTGATGTTTAAATAATCAGTGATAGTGAACTTGAGATGTTTAAATAATCAGTGATAGTGAACCTGTGATGTTTAAATAACCAGTGATAGTGAACCTGTGATGTTTAAATAACCAGTGACAGTGAACCTGTGATGTTTCAATAATCAGTGATAGTGAACCTGAGATGTTTCAATAATCAGTGAACCTGTGATGTTTAAACAATCAGTGATAGTGAACCTGAGATGTTTAAATAATCAGTGAACCTGTGATGTTTAAATAATCAGTGAACCTGTGATGTTTAAATAATCAGTGATAGTGAACCTGTGATGTTTAAATAATCAGTGATAGTGAACCTGTGATGTTTAAATAATCAGTGATAGTGAACCTGTGATGTTTAAATAATCAGTGATAGTGAACCTGAGATGTTTAAATAATCAGTGATAGTGAACCTGAGATGTTTAAATAATCAGTGAACCTGTGATGTTTAAATAATCAGTGATAGTGAACCTGTGATGTTTAAATAATCAGTGAACCTGTGATGTTTAAATAATCAGTGATAGTGAACCTGAGATGTTTAAATAATCAGTGAACCTGTGATGTTTAAATAATCAGTGAACCTGAGATGTTTAAATAATCAGTGAACCTGAGATGTTTAAATAATCAGTGAACCTGAGATGTTTAAATAATCAGTGATAGTGAACCTGAGATGTTTAAATAATCAGTGAACCTGTGATGTTTAAATAATCAGTGAACCTGTGATGTTTAAATAATCAGTGATAGTGAACCTGAGATGTTTAAATAATCAGTGAACCTGTGATGTTTAAATAATCAGTGATAGTGAACCTGAGATGTTTAAATAATCAGTGATAGTGAACCTGTGATGTTTAAATAACCAGTGATAGTGAACCTGTGATGTTTAAATAACCAGTGACAGTGAACCTGTGATGTTTCAATAATCAGTGATAGTGAACCTGAGATGTTTCAATAATCAGTGAACCTGTGATGTTTAAATAATCAGTGATAGTGAACCTGAGATGTTTAAATAATCAGTGAACCTGTGATGTTTAAATAATCAGTGATAGTGAACCTGAGATGTTTAAATAATCAGTGATAGTGAACCTGTGATGTTTAAATAACCAGTGATAGTGAACCTGTGATGTTTAAATAACAGTGATAGTGAACCTGAGATGTTTAAATAATCAGTGATAGTGAACCTGAGATGTTTAAATAATCAGTGAACCTGTGATGTTTAAATAATCAGTGAACCTGTGATGTTTAAATAATCAGTGATAGTGAACCTGTGATGTTTAAATAATCAGTGATAGTGAACCTGTGATGTTTAAATAATCAGTGATGGTGAACCTGAGATGTTTAAATAATCAGTGATGGTGAACCTGTGATGTTTAAATAATCAGTGAACCTGAGATGTTTAAATAATCAGTGAACCTGTGATGTTTAAATAATCAGTGATAGTGAACCTGTGATGTTTAAATAATCAGTGATAGTGAACCTGTGATGTTTAAATAATCAGTGAACCTGTGATGTTTAAATAATCAGTGAACCTGTGATGTTTAAATAATCAGTGATAGTGAACCTGAGATGTTTAAATAATCAGTGAACCTGTGATGTTTAAATAATCAGTGATAGTGAACCTGTGATGTTTAAATAATCAGTGAACCTGTGATGTTTAAATAATCAGTGATAGTGAACCTGTGATGTTTAAATAATCAGTGATAGTGAACCTGTGATGTTTAAATAATCAGTGAACCTGAGATGTTTAAATAATCAGTGATAGTGAACCTGAGATGTTTAAATAACCAGTGATAGTGAACCTGTGATGTTTAAATAACCAGTGATAGTGAACCTGAGATGTTTAAATAATCAGTGATAGTGAACCTGTGATGTTTAAATAACCAGTGATAGTGAACCTGTGATGTTTAAATAACCAGTGATAGTGAACCTGAGATGTTTAAATAATCAGTGATAGTGAACCTGAGATGTTTAAATAATCAGTGAACCTGTGATGTTTAAATAATCAGTGAACCTGTGATGTTTAAATAATCAGTGATAGTGAACCTGTGATGTTTAAATAATCAGTGAACCTGTGATGTTTAAATAATCAGTGATAGTGAACCTGAGATGTTTAAATAATCAGTGATAGTGAACCTGTGATGTTTAAATAATCAGTGATAGTGAACCTGTGATGTTTAAATAATCAGTGATAGTGAACCTGTGATATTTAAATAATCAGTGATAGTGAACCTGTGATGTTTAAATAATCAGTGATAGTGAACCTGTGATATTTAAATAATCAGTGATAGTGAACCTGTGATGTTTAAATAATCAGTGATAGTGAACCTGAGATGTTTAAATAATCAGTGATAGTGAACCTGTGATGTTTAAATAACAGTGATAGTGAACCTGTGATGTTTAAATAACAGTGATAGTGAACCTGAGATGTTTAAATAATCAGTGATAGTGAACCTGAGATGTTTAAATAATCAGTGAACCTGTGATGTTTAAATAATCAGTGAACCTGTGATGTTTAAATAATCAGTGATAGTGAACCTGTGATGTTTAAATAATCAGTGATAGTGAACCTGTGATGTTTAAATAATCAGTGATGGTGAACCTGAGATGTTTAAATAATCAGTGATGGTGAACCTGTGATGTTTAAATAATCAGTGAACCTGAGATGTTTAAATAATCAGTGAACCTGTGATGTTTAAATAATCAGTGATAGTGAACCTGTGATGTTTAAATAATCAGTGATAGTGAACCTGTGATGTTTAAATAATCAGTGAACCTGTGATGTTTAAATAATCAGTGAACCTGTGATGTTTAAATAATCAGTGATAGTGAACCTGAGATGTTTAAATAATCAGTGAACCTGTGATGTTTAAATAATCAGTGATAGTGAACCTGTGATGTTTAAATAATCAGTGAACCTGAGATGTTTAAATAATCAGTGATAGTGAACCTGAGATGTTTAAATAATCAGTGATAGTGAACCTGAGATGTTTAAATAATCAGTGAACCTGTGATGTTTAAATAATCAGTGATA